AAAGAGTGTCGAGTGGTACCTTTCAGATCGTTTTTTGTGACAGTTTTGTAACATTCAGTCTATATCTATTGAGCCTATCGAACGATATTTTAAGAGAGACGATTGACGATGTAAAGTTGTAGTTGATTGGATGCAATATCACTGTCAGTATATTGAGATGTAGAATAATCATCGAGCTTATATGGTATCATTAAATCTGCCGCAAGGAGACGGACTGCAAGAACTAAATCATTATTTGCAATGGTATCGATCTAGGGCATCACTTTACCTAGTGAAACCCCCTACGTAGTCGTCCGATACCTATTACCCCTGATCACCTGGAGAGAGATTAGTGGTATGCTTTTACTATATTTTATAGCTACTACTATTTTTTTTTACTATAATACATAATAATAATTCTTATTCTTCAATTATAAAGATGAATTACTTCATTTGTATCAAAGATATCACAGAAAAGTTTGGAGGGGATCATGGTTGGTACTAGCTCTACGAAAGGATTCAATGAGATAATGAAGCTATCACGTAGAGTAAAACAATCCATACATATCAATTATATCACATTTCATCAACCAAGTAGACATGACCTCGAGGTGAGGCTATCTCATATAACATATGTCTGACCGTTTGCCCTGCGTAGATCAGTTTCTGATGCCTTGCATCAATTATATCACATTTCATCAACCAAGTAGACATGATCTCGAGGTGAGGCTATCTCATATAACATATGTTTGACCGTTGGCCCTGCGTAGATCAGTTTCTGATGCCTTGCAACGGTCGTGTTTCACTATCGCGAGACATTTAGTAGCATATGCTCCAAGGAGATCTTCAGCTTTCAGAACATGTGGATCTCCCTTAAATGAGTCGCACAAGCAACAATATCCACAACCATCTGCTTATTCTGGCCAATAAATATTTGTGAGCCCCTTCAGCTCTGCAGAACCTTCCGACTATGCAGGACCCTACAGATATGCACGACCCACCGGCTATGCAGGACATTGAAATATGAGGGTCTATTGTATGATTTATAATGGACAACATATACAGGAGGGGATTTGTATTTAAGTTTTTAAAGTATTCCCATATCTGCGCCTCAATTTGATGTAGGACTATTTTTCGGTAC